GAAAGAGTTTCCTTCATCCAGGCCAGCTCCTGTTCAAGCACCTCCAGGCTGGGCACATCCTGCTGGAGGCTGGGGAAAGGGACGAGGTGGAATCACTTCTGCTCCCAGGGAACCTCCCTTGAGGACAGAGGGGCAGCCTTGCCTCTTGCTTCCCTCCGTGCCTTTCATAAACTCATCAGTGACACAAAGTGAGGGCTAACGAGGCCATTTTTGGTGGGGAGGCCAGGCTTGACTTGGACACCCTCTGGCACAGTACCCAGGGTGATGGGCAGAGGCTACAGTGCAGACTCAGCCCTTCCCTCCATCCCCTAAATTCACCCAACCACCCACCAAGCCCCCCAGCACTCACTCCCAAAGCACCTCACTAACCCCCAGGCAACGGGAATTTTTTGGACTCTCCCAGGCCATGTACCCTCTCAGCAACCTCCCAAGTTTCAATTCCAAGAAGAGAGGCAGTTAATCATTACCCTAAATTGGCTGCACAGAAGGTGCAGGCTTGGGTAAAGTCTGCCTGCAGCGGGGCAAGTGCTGAGGAAAGCCCTGGGTCCTGCTGCTGCTGCTGCTCAGGGAACAGGTTAATGATTCGCTTGCCTTCAGGTTCATTCACCTCCACCACCTCCTGGGGCTGCCCACATCCTCCCCAGACACCCTGGCACTCACCTGGTGTGAACCCAGACCCCCATAAATGGGATGAATTGGTTTGAAGTGGGAATTGGCTGTTTTAATCTAGACAGGGTTTCTAGCATCCCCTCCAACATCAGCTCAGCCTTGCTGCTCAGATCCCCACCACAAGAAGGGCTGGAGTTCAGCTCATTCCAGGGAGGGCTTAAAATACAGACTGGATTTACAGGGAGGAGGAGGTGGATTATTACAGTGGGTGGGAGTCTCTGGCTCAGGTCTGATCCTGCCTGGGTGCTCTATGGACACAAGCCAGAGCTGTCTCTGCTCTAACACAGTAAAAGTCATCCCCAGATTGACAGGAGGGAGATGCCTCCATCCCACCTGCTCCTGGGGGCTTGGCCATGAGTTTGTTCACAGTGGGATTGTGATCCAGAAGTGGCCACACAGCTGGATCCAGCCCCAACACCACCCCCAGCCCTGCTCCCAGAGTCCTGCAGAGGCTTTAGGTGGGAACTCAGCATCTTCCCCCAGGTCCCATATGGGGAAGACTTAGAGATGGGTGGGCAGTGGGTGTCCACGCCAGAGCCTGGCACTTTGGGATCCCTCTGCCTTTACCTGGGGTTGGATACCTTTGGGCTGAGATCCGTCTTCACGAGGGTGAGGTATTTGTGCAGCTTCTGCCAGAGGATGGGCTTGGGGAGGCTCCCGTTGGCGTGGATGGCGTGTACCCGGGCCATCTCCTGAGCCACCAGCCTGGAAGGACACGGACACATGGGTGTGATGTGGCCCTGCAGCAACATTCCTGGAAGGAGAGCTCCTCAAAACCAGCCTTGAGGGGAGGTTCCCTGAAAGCCAGGCTTTAAAACACATCAGCAGAGCTGAAACTCCCCCTCCAGCCCAGCTGCCACAGCCTCTCAAGCATTCCAAGACCTTGTCTGGGCTAAAAGCAGCATTCACCTTTCCAGATAAAAGCTGCTGTTCTCACATCATGCTCTTTATTCACCAAAATCTAAGGCTTTAGAAACACACTGATAAACCTGGTTGCAATTGGGCACATTTGTCCCCCAGCACCATTTGTGCACATCAATGATGGTGGAGCACCAGCTTGGAGCATCAGAGGGGGAGAGCTGGAAACACGGAGCAAACCCCTCATGCCCAGAGACCCACCAGTTCCCCCAGCCCATGGTAGCCCCCCAGACCCACATATCTGAGGACATGGGAGGTCCTTCTCACCTGAAGATGTGGGGGTCCCGCACATGTTGGGGTCCCAGAGCGATGCCCGGCAGGAACTGGTAGCAGAGCCCGTTCTGGAAGGCACAGTAGAGGTCGGGGGCACAGCCATGGGCATGTAGCACCTGGAAATTCCTCAGCTCTGTCTCCCTGTCCACAAACAGCTCTGTCTTCCTGCCGTAGATGCGGACCAGCACAGCGTCTGCCATGTCCTCATCTGTGTAGCAGGCCATGAGCTTGTTGGTGATGCCATCGGTGAACAACTGGATTGGGAAAAGGTGGCAGAGCCCATGTCTGTACATCCCTGCCAGGGCAGCTGGGCACAGGGAAACCCCCACCCCACCAGCAGACCAGGGGGAAAAGAAACAGGGAAAAGGCAACAACAGGCAAAGGGCAAAATAAAGCCCTAAGGAGCCAGGAAAGTGACCGTGGCAGGCGGCACGAGTTTGCAAGACCTCAAGGCTCAGGCGTGACCCGGGGCTCTGCACAGGGCCACAGACACGAGGCCTCAGCTGGTGGTTTGGGTGGAAATCCTGCTTTTTTCTTTTTCTTTTTTTTTCCACCTGGGAGCACAGGAGCAGCTCAGGCCAGACGTGCTGCCTGCACACTTGGCAGCCCAGCGGCTTCGGGAAACGCTCCCGAAAAATCAGCGTAAACCTCCTGGCACCAAACGAGGAATTAAGAAAAACACCAACAACCCAAAAACCAACAGCAAACAAGACGGAGCAAACACCACCAGCCCTCCCGACCCTCCCCATGGGGCCGGGGCACTGATAGGCAGGGATGTCTCTGCTGGGGACGTCGTGTGTCATCGCTCTGATGGCTCCTCACAGATGGACAGAGAGTTTTGTTCTCCCGCTGCCCCGGCTTGGCCGCCCGCCCGTGCACATGCAGGGGCTGCTCTCCCCATCCCGTGCAGATTCCAGTTGCCTCTAGTGCACCAAGGGGTTTGGGGTCTCCATCACCCATGGGAAACCTCTGCTCCATTGTCCCAGACGCAGGAGGGATGCTGAGCCCCATGCAGATGGGCTCCACAGCAGTGGGGTGCTCAGCCTCATATCCCACGCCAGCAGGATGCTCAGCCCCACGTGGCTCCTCCTGCTGCTCCCCAGCAGAGGGATCTCTTTATCCCCTTGGGGTTTGGGGATCCCGAGCAGGTGTGATGCTGGGGGAGCAGGAGGGGGCTGAGGGCACGTGCTGCAGCAGCAGTGGTGCTCGGGGGTGGGACAGCTAATTTTAGACATCCCACTCAGCAACTCCCGCTCCTATATAGGGTGTCTATATATAGGGCTCCCCATGCTGCCTCCTGAGGGAAACTCCAAGCACTGGAATGAGACACCCAGGCTAATGCCCCTGGTTACAGAGCTTGCTGATAGGCAGGGATGTCTCTGCTGGGGACGTCGTGTGTCATCGCTCTGATGGCTCCTCACAGATGGACAGAGAGTTTTGTTCTCCCGCTGCCCCGGCTTGGCCGCCCGCCCGTGCACATGCAGGGGCTGCTCTCCCCATCCCATGCAGATTCCAGTTGCCTCTAGTGCACCAAGGGGTTTGGGGTCTCCATCACCCATGGGAAACCTCTGCTCCATTGTCCCAGACGCAGGAGGGATGCTGAGCCCCATGCAGATGGGCTCCACAGCAGTGGGGTGCTCAGCCTCATATCCCACGCCAGCAGGATGCTCAGCCCCACGTGGCTCCTCCTGCTGCTCCCCAGCAGAGGGATCTCTTTATCCCCTTGGGGTTTGGGGATCCCGAGCAGGTGTGATGCTGGGGGAGCAGGAGGGGGCTGAGGGCACGTGCTGCAGCAGCAGTGGTGCTCGGGGGTGGGACAGCTAATTTTAGACATCCCACTCAGCAACTCCCGCTCCTATATAGGGTGTCTATATATAGGGCTCCCCATGCTGCCTCCTGAGGGAAACTCCAAGCACTGGAATGAGACACCCAGGCTAATGCCCCTGGTTACAGAGCTTGGCTGGGGTGGGATTTGGGGCGAGCGTGGCAAGGAGTGAGATGGCCCCACGTCCCATCCAGCTGCTGTCACTTGGCTGCAGCTGGGCCAGGCTGAAGCTTCTCAAGCAACTGAGCTGCTTTTCCTAGGGCAGATAATCTGTTTCCACCACGGTGCCAACCTGGCTCTCTCCTCATCCTGCCAGGCTGCAGAGGCCAGAAATTCAGCAAGCAAAAGGTCTCATGGCCCAGCCATGGAGCAGGTGCTGCAGCCAGGACAGCTGCTCTCCACTGGCCACAGGTGAACGGCTCCACGTCGGGATGCTCAGCCCTGCCTCACCTGCAAAGTCCTTGCACTGCTTTGTTTTGCTGCTCAGCAGCCTGATCAGCCCTTTCCAGTGGGTTTAACAGGATTACTGAGCCTTATCCCCCACTGAATTCCAGGCCACTCACTTTGGAGACTCACACGTGGTTTGTCAGCAACCTGCACAGACGCACGCAGGGGCTTGCCTGGTTTGGAGCTCCAGCTCCCAAGGAACGAGCACAGCTGCTTGGGCAGATGCCTGGTGTTGTTTCTTGTGGATCCAAAGTGCAGTCAGCAGGGCCACGGCGCTGCTACCAGCCCAAATCCTTCCCTGCTGTGCTTGTGTGACAGCAGGGAGGGAGGAAAGCAAGTGTGACTCCGCACCAGGAGCCTTGTGGCAATCAAATGCAAAGCAAAACCCAAGCCCTGAGTAAAGATGCTGAAGCAAAGCAGCTTCATCTGACCCCCCCCACTGCTGTGCCTGCTGCGAGATCCCTCAGCATTCCCAAAAAACCCCTGCCTTGGCTGCTTCCCTGTGCAGGCACCCCCAGCCTGAGGGGATGGCAGCCCGGGGCTGGACTGGAGCAGGGCTCCTGGTTGTCAAAGTCAGGTTAAAAAAAAAGTCCAACCACGCTGGAGTCTTTGGCTCCTCATCACTGCTGCTCCTCTTATCGCTGGATGAGGGATGGAGGAGTGTGTGCTTCCCTGATAGCCTGGCTGACTCACCGACACCACCTGTGCCTGCTCAGTGCAGAGCTGCTCCTGCCCAGGGCTTAAAGGGTGAGAGCAGCAGCAGCCCTGGAAAGCAGGCACAACAAGGAGAGCAAAGGGGCTGAAAACCCCAGCAAGAAGAAGGCAGGTCGGGGAAGCCGAGCACCCAGACCCTTCTTCCCAGCCTTCCACACCCTGCCCCGAGCACCGGGAGGTTTTCCCGTGGCACCGGCACAGCCCGGTGCAGCCCCCGGGAGCAGCCGGGTGCTGCCGCGGTGCAGCGAGGTGCTGCGGGCCGGGCACGGCTCCAGGGCACGGAGGAAAACCAACAGGAACACTAATGGGAACCAGCTGAGGATCAGCACACCGCTCCAATCCCCTCCCCAGCAGCTCTTGCCACAGCAGCGACGGGAAACGCAACTGGAGGTTAGTTTTTTCCCCCCTTTTCAACTCCTAAGGGTTTTTTTTTTCTTTAATTAAAAACACACGCACGCACACACAAGCTGCTGTTGAACACTGACCCCCTCCGATGCCTGGAGAGAGCCTGGATACCAGAGCACCGGGCTCCTTCTCAAACAGCCACTGCCACCGAGCTTGAGACATTTCCTGCCCCTACAACTATGTGCTCTGAGAACTCCAGCTCCAGCTTCCTGCCTATTGCCATCTGCCCTTTCATATGTATTTTCCTGCAGCTTCTTGTATTTAATTACACTTGGCTATTAATACATTTTTAATGACACTCCAGGCACAGGGGAAGAGGGTGCCTTCAGGGGACAGGCACACACATGTACACAGGTTTAAGTGCACCCAGCTCTGCCACCTCCACACTCTCATGCCCATTGCCTGGTGAGGGCACAGTCACCATCAGCCTTGTGGCTCCATCCCAGACCTGGCACCCCCAGGCAGAGGTGAGGAGGGGGAAAGGACTCCCAGCTTCCAGGACCCATTCTCCCAGCAAAGCTCTGCCAGCTACAGACAGCTCAGCCCTGTCCCATGCAGGAGCCCAGCACTAAAACCCAGATCCCATCCGAACCTGCATCCAGCCCGTGCAACCCGGGAAAGGTGCAAACTCACGAGTAACCCGAGTGAGACCTGCTCCGGGGAGCAGCTACTCCTGTGAGCAAGGGCCCAGCAGCACTGGGTGCAGGCAGGGGTGCAGCACCTGCAGGGGAGACTCCAGGGGGACCAGCAGCCAAAGTACCAGTTCCTAGAAGATCCATTGCAAATGTTTATCTTATATCAAGGGCCAAAATAGTTATTAATACCCAGATATCCACAAAAATGAAGAAATAGAAGAACCAAAACCAGAACTTAGGATGCTCCAATCCTCCTATTTTAACAGGAAACAATTTATGCTTCAGTTGAAGATGCTAGTACAAGCAAACCACAGTACTCTGTAATATTGCACACCGGCTGACATAGTAGGGAGCAGTGTACTCACACTTTTTCCCACACAAGCTAAACCTGGAAACAAGAAATTCATTACTGTTGCTGGCAAACCCATACATTTCTGTGAATGACCTGAACATTATTAGCCACAATTCCTGAAACATCCTTTGCAACTTTGTGTTATGTCCACCTTCAAGTACAGTGGCAAGAACATCATAATCAATAGCTGTGAGCAACCCCACTGCTACAAACCGACTGAGTACAGAGGAAAATTTCCCACATCTTGCTTCTTTCAACTTAAAATAATTTGTCACTGTAGTGTTACAGGATAACAGGATCATTTGCTTTCTTCAATGAGTATCTGCACACAGCACTGTGTTGTTAGTGTAGATAAAGAGCGCAATTATTTTCTCCACATAATTCACAGGTTATGGACATGCCCTTACCCTTATCATTAACATTGAAAACAGATCAAACTGAGCTGGTAAAATGAGTCTCTGTGTTTAAGCCTCAGTTAATAAGAGGGTCCTCAACAAAGCCCTCCTCTCTGAACCCTCCCACTGCATTCACTTGCAAATCACAGTACGGCTGGCGGAGGGGGGCCCCCGCCCCCCCCCCCCCCCCCCCCCTCCCCATCCATTTGAGATCTGGGGTGAAAAAGGTGGGGATACCGCTCATGGGATGCGCCCCGGGATAGAATCGAGAGGATCATTTGGGTCAGAAAAGACCTTTAAGGTCATCAAATCCAACCTTTAACCCAGCTCTGCCAAGCCCAGCACTAAACCATGTCCCTAAAAACATCTCCCCTCTGGACCAGCCTCTCCAGCATCTCACCCCCCTAAAGCACCGACCCCCAGAAGGGATTTACACGTGGGCTGGACAGAGGTTTGATGGTTAGAGCAGCGCTCACCCCTCGGCACAGCCCCCCAACCCGGCTCCAGCCCAGCTTCATTAGCAGAGGAAATAACAACTGCCCAGGGCTGGGAGCACAGAATGCCCAAAGTTTGCAGCTGCGGCTGAAACCGGCTAAATGGACCGTGGAGACTTGGGGGAAAATCATTTAAGGAAAGGGGGAAAAAAAATTAAAAATAACAACAAACCCAACAAAGCAGCCAGTTCTCTTGTGTTGCTAAATATAGAGCGAGCTCTGTCAGTTTTAATAGGATGGTCATAATTGCTCCCGCCGCTTTGCTGGGCTGAGTGTGGCCTAATTGCTCGGCCGTAACGATCCCGGGTGTTAATAGGGGCAGTTGTGGGTGGTGGGGCCGGGCAGGGCTGCAGGAAATTGCCCTGGCGCTGCCGATTAGAGGTGTTAATAGCCTGGCTTAAGGGGCCCGGGAGCTGCACCGCAGCAGCCCAGGCAGTTTTGCCTTCCGGCTGCTCAGACTGTGCTGAACAGGAGCAGGGCTGGATCCACAAAACCCGTCCTATTTTAGGCCAGTCGGAACATTTTCTAGCTGAGGGCTGTGGGCAGAAGTTGTCACAGGGGGTTTAAGTCACCTGGTGCTCTTTCAAGCTCACATCCACTTGAGTCTTCTCCAGACCAAAGCCTCTGCAGTGTAGAGCAGGGTGGAAGAGGCTTAGTTATTTCCAGGTGAGAAGTTTCCTTGCAGTTAGAAGGAAGGTCAGAAGCTTCCCAGCATCTTTGTACAGTCAGAACGTTGGGGAGAGGCTGGGGCTGTGGCTCTAGTACTGACCTGTGTGGTTTTCTCCTTGCCAAGGGTCTCTGGGCCCTCCCTGTCTGCACTGCCACTGCTTCCCAGCCCCTGGGCTCCCCTGAGCTGATGAGCAGCTGCCTGAAGCACCCGGGTGTGCTCAGGAAGTGCTGGGTGAAGGCAAGATGCTCTGACCACTGAGGCCCTTTTCCTCCATCCCCAAGAGCCCTTCCCACTGCTCTTGTTGCCCCTGCATTGGAGGTGACCAGCACTGCAGGAGGTGATGGCAAGAAACCACAAACATTGTTGGATGCCCTGAATTCCCCATTCCTGGAGACCTAGGGCTGTGCAGCCAAAATTCCAGAGGTTTAAATGCTGCACAGCTGCAGCAGAGCCTCCCAGGAGGGACAAACATCCTCTTAGCCACAGGAAGGCTGCTCTGTGGGGTAGGACAGGGGATAAGGTGCTGTGCTGGGAGGGAGAGGTGGCAAGCAGAGGTTGCTGCTTTCCTGGACTGGAGGAGAAACACAGCAGCCTCCACTTCTGTGCTCTTCTGATCATCCCTGCAGCCTGAGAGGCAGCCTGTGCTTTGGGCAGTGCTGGGAATTCACCACCAGCCATTGCTGGTGGCAGAAACGAGGGCAAGGAGCTGCTGCAAGCAATCCCACTCACATGGTGGCTTGTTCCAGGCTCTGCTCCAGCAGCCTGAGTGTTGTGCTCTGCTGTACAGGCACGTTTCCCAGGGCTCTGCTGGGAGTCACAGACCAGAGCTGGTTGAACTGGAGATGAGAGCATGTTGCAAATCTCTTGGCATTGAGGAGCACTTGGATTCGCAGCTGCTGGGCTGTAACTGGAAACACTGCAGCTCTCCAGCAGAACTGGAAATGTCAGCATCTGGCTGGGAGCACTGGTTTGCCCCTCCTGCTGGGCCAGCCAGCATGGGGCTTGTGTTGCTGAGCATCTCCACACACAGCCAGGGCTGAGCCAAGCCTCTGGTCATCGACTGGAGCCAATGTTGGCAATGGAAACAGATCCAGGCACTGAGGCAGCTGGAGCTGCCTGGCTGGAGGGAGAAAGTCAGCCACCTCTCATCAGACCTGCAGGCACCTTCCCCTCCCCAAAAAGCAGCAAAGCAGAAGTCCAGCTGTGTTCCTCTGTCTCCAGTGGTCCTGAGCCCCCTGTGGGAAGGCAGGTTGAGGTATGGGTAGCCCACACAGCAGCTCAGCTCGTGCAGAAGGGGCTGGCTCGTTTGCTGTTTGAAAGGACTGTGACATGCCTACATGGAGATGCTGTAGCACGAGCTGGGAGGGAGCTTCACTCACACGTAACAAGGAAGGACAAACACAGGGGTGGATCCCAGCAGAGGAACACTTGTTGTCCAGTTCTATTAATACAAGTGTCTGATCCCTTCCCTCTGCAAGAATAAGCATCTACTCAGCATCCTGTTGCTCTAAGACTGTTTAATATTGAAGTCACAGAGAGAGGCGTGGGGTTAACACCAGCTAAAACTATCATCAGATGCAGCCTGATTGTTTTTCTCCCATTCAAAGGGTAACACGAACCGAAGCAGCTCATTCCTGCAGCAACT